TTCCAGGCCAAAAAAACAGGTCCAATATCCCTAAAAATATCCCTACTTTTCATTTTCTTATAATTCTTTCCCAGATGATAATTGCCTGACCCAAAGTAACTGGTACCTTGTTTTCAAAATCAAATCTTTTTTTCTCAATACAGCAATAATCTGATAGTCCACTGTCAAATGTTCTTTAGGCTAGAAGCTATTGCGATATGCTCAAAATATTTGTATATCTCAAGTCTTATTAAAACATTTTTAGGATTCTGGAGTTTAGGAAGAGAGTTTATCTGTTACTGTTACATGCATTTTTTTGTGCAGTAATTCAACAACAACAAATTAAAAGGGTAAGAGTGCTACAAAATTGATATAATTTTTCAAATTGTTCTTGACATTGATCTTTAACCTTCGGCTAGGTTTTTGATATTCGGCAAGGAACATACAGCTAAACTAGCAGTTGTGATAAATACAAAAGTAAAACTAGTTGATTTAGTTTCAGAACAAGGACTGTTGAGCCAGTCATAATTTCTTAATTAAAATCTTCTACCAAAGATAATTACCGTATAATAATCTTACAAATATTTGTTGTCACAAGCCGGATAATTTGCTTTTTGTTATTTTTCAAAAATGTCTTTTGGGAATTCTAATATTTATCTTTATTCATATATTTACCAGTTTTTACCACAAATTTTCACGCACCATAATTGCTAGTTGCGTCTTAACACTACCGGAAGTTGCGAAAATGGATGGATTATTTTACATTTTGGCTTTTTTCTTCGAAATATAAATAGGAGCACAGTGGTAATTGTGTTGTAAAGTTTAATGAAGACGCGAGAAACGATAGAAAATAGAATTAAAACTTCAATCAATTTAATTAAAAAATTTTTAAGTTCCCAACTTCGTCATGATCTCATAGGAATTGCTAACTGACACTGAGAATAACTGTGTTTTGTTATGTGACTGTTAAATTTTGATCTGTCAGCTCAAGATTAAATGGCCCAATCCCTGAGGACGAAGACCGCAAGCTCTAAAACTTAAATTCATCCCAAAAACATCTGCAAACTTCTCGAGCTTATTAGAATATTCATAACGATCGTATTTAGTTTACTTGTACATCCAGCTAACCTTTACGTTAGTTGGTATATTTTCCCAGCGCTTAGGATTTCAACACTAAATTATGCTCGTTTAATGGGGATTTTTTATTTTGCGCGACCTACACTTAATCGTTATCTGTGTAAGGTCTATTGCAGTTGTTAACATTTCGTATATTTTTCTTTTATTTTCAGACTGAGCGGCGAATATCTCTGATGCTTCAAGCAAGAATCAAACAAGAAAGCCTGCGGTCAGGATCTATTTAGAGGTACAAAACAGATGTAGCAAGTTTCTTCCGAAGATCCGGCGAGTTAAAGCGGCACTTGAGGACCTTAAGCCAGATGTAAGCAAAAGTTTAATCATGATTTTGAGAAACATACTTAATTATGGGCTGTTTAAAAATTAATAATTTTCCCGCCAAAATGGTACAAGCGCCTTTAATACACATGCGCCAATTGTTTTTTTTATTCATTCTGTAAGTAACAATTGTTCAAATATGGCAAATTTCCCCGTCAAAAGACTGAAAAAAATACGCATACGTCGAATATTTTTTTTTCTGAGTCGTTTTAATGATTTACAGCTGGCCCTTTAAGAGATTGGTGTCACCCGAAATTTCTCTTCCTTAGTCTTGATCTGCGGTGCTAAGACTTGGTCCCCAAAAAAAAAAAAAACTCTTTCGGACACTGGACTGTCTTTATGCGCTGATCAGATGCATGTTTGACTTTCTACAAGAGATGGGAGACTTAAAGCTGACCCTTTTAGGGGCTGGTGTCACCCAAAATATCTCTCTTTCTTAGTCTTGATCTGTGATGCAAAGACTTGGTCCCCAAAAAAGAAAATAAAACTGTTTCGGACAATGGACTGTCTTTATGCGCTGATCAGATGTTTGACTTTGTTCAAAAAATGGGAGACTTAAGGCTGGCTCTTTCAAGAGCTGGTACTATCACTCGAAATATCTCTCTTTCTCAGTCTTGATCTGTGATGCAAAGATTTGTTCCCCAAAAAGAAAATAAGGCTGTTTGGGACAATGGACCGTCTTTATACGCTGATCAGATGCATGTTTGACTTTGTACAAGAGATGGTAGACTTAAAGCTGGCCCTTTAAAGGGTAAGTACTTTCACCAAAAATATCTCTTCTTTAGTCTTAATCTGTGATGCAAAGACTTTGTCCCCCCCCCCCCAAAAAAAAAAAAAAAAAAAAACTGTTTCGGACTCTGGACTGTCTTATACGCTGATCGGGTGTTTGACTTTGTACAAGAGATGAGAGACTTAAGGCTGGCCCTTTAAGGGGTTGGTACTGTCATCCAAAATATCTCTTCCTTAGTCCAGATCTGTAATGCTAAGACTTGGTCCCTAAAAAAGAAAATAAAACTGTTTCGGACACTGGACTGTCTTTATGCGCTGATCAGATGCATGTTTGACTTTGCACAAGAGATGGGAGACTTAAAGCTGGCTCTTTATGGGGCTGGTACTATCACCCACTATATCTCTCTCTTAGTCTTGATCTGTGATGCAAAGACTTGGTCCCCCACACCAAAAAAAAAAATGAAACTGTTTCGGACCCTGGACTGTCTTATGCGCTGATCGGGTGTTTGACTTTGTACAAGAGATGGGAGACTTAAAGCTGGCCCTTTAAGGGGCTGGTACTGTTACCCAAAATATCTCTTCCTTAGTCTTGATCTGTGATGCTAAGACTTGGTCCCCCCCCCCCCAAAAAAAAAAAACTGTTTCGGACACTGGACTGTCTTTATGCGCTGATCAGATGCATGTTTGACTTTGTACAAGAGATGGGAGACTTAAAGCTGGCCCTTAAAGGGGCTGGTACTGTTACCCAAAATATCTCTTTCTTAGTCTTGATCTGTGATGCAAAGACTTGGTCCCCCCCCAAAAAGAACTGTTTTCGACACTGGACTGTCTTTATGCGCTGATCAGATGCATGTTTGACTTTGTACAAGAGATGGGAGACTTAAAGCTGGCCCTTTAAGGGGCTGGTACTGTTACCCAAAATATCTTTTCCTTAGTCTTGATCTGTGATGCAAAGACTTGGTCCCCCCAAAAAAAAAAACTGTTTCGGACACTGGACTGTCTTTATGCGCTGATCAGATGCATGTTTGACTTTGTACAAGAGATGGGAGACTTAAAGCTGGCCCTTTAAGGGGCTGGTACTGTTACCCAAAATATCTCTTCCTTAGTCTTGATCTGTGATGCAAAGACTTGGTCCCCCCCAAAAAAAAAACTGTTTCGGACACTGGACTGTCTTTATGCGCTGATCAGATGCATGTTTGACTTTGTACAAGAGATGGGAGACTTAAAGCTGGCCCTTTAAGGGGCTGGTACTGTTACCCAAAATATCTCTTCCTTAGTCTTGATCTGTGATGCAAAGACTTGGTCCCCCCCACCAAAAAAAAAAAAAAAAAATGCGCTGATCGGGTGTTTGACTTTGTACAAGAGAAACTGTTGATCTGTGATGACAAAAAAAAAACTGTTTCGGACACTGGACTGTCTTTATGCGCTGATAAGATGCATGTTTGACTTTGTACAAGAGATGGGAGACTTAAAGCTGGCCCTTTAAGGGGCTGGTACTGTTACCCAAAATATCTCTTCCTTAGTCTTGATCTGTGATGCTAAGTCTTGGTCTCCCCAAAAAAAAAACTGTTTCGGACACTGGACTGTCTTTATGCGCTGATCAAATACATGTTTGACTTTGTACAAGAGATGGGAGACTTAAAGCTGGCTCTTTATGGGGCTGGTACCATCACCCACTATAGCTCTCTCTTAGTCTTGATCTGTGATGCTAAGACTTGGTCCCCAAAAAAGAAAATAAAACTGTTTCGGACCCTGGACTGTCTTATGCGCTGATCGGGTGTTTGACTTTGTACAAGAGATGGGAGACTTAAAGCTGGCCCTTCAAGGGGTTGGTGTCACCCAAAATATCTCTTCCTTAGTCTTGATCTGTGATGCAAAGACTTGGTCCAAAAAAATAGGATAAAACTGTTTCGGACTCTGGACTGTCTTATGCGCTGATCAGGTGTTTAACTTTGTACAAGAGATGTTTTGTTTTGTTTTGTTTTTTTAATTTTAACACAGAATTCAAGGAAGAGTGGGATATTTAATCTATATTTACGTCTTGGATTTCAGTGGACTATAATCGCCTCTATGAGGTGTCCAAGGCAAGTGGTTTGTTATCATTAAGCTGCACGCAATCAACTGAGGCAGAAGCACACAATATGAAAGCATCATTTTAGGTATTTAATGTCGCAGAACTGGGCCTCTCACAGCCCATGTTCAGTAAATCAGAATTTGTTTTTTTTTGTTGGTGTGTAATTTAAAAACAATCGCATTTCCTTAAAGTGCTGTCCCAGCGTTACGAGTTCAGTTTACGGCCCACACGCAGCTCTTCAACAAAATCGCTCAATGGATACGTTTATCCGCAACTAGCATACAGTGGAACAAAACTCCTTACCGATAGCCAACTAATGTAATATAAAATTCTAGAGCTTTTTCGGAGCAAGAAGGGCTTGAATAAATTATTACGCCATAATGAAATTTACCTTTTATCCTCCTGGCTGACAGAAGAGTTAAAGCTCAGAAAAAAGAGAAAGGGAGAGAAAAAAGAAAAATCATACATCGACGCAAAATGGTACAGCCCTTACCAATGAAGATGGTCACAATTTAAAAAGTGTTATTAAACACAAAATCTTTTTCTCTGATGGAAGACTTGTCTGTTAGCGTGGCTATGTAGTCCATAATAAGTGCTGTTTTAAGATTTTCGTCCTTCGTTTCCACACAGATTACACGAAAAATGACCACGTCAATAAAGCAACCTAAGACAAGTTTCATCCTTGGTAAGGTAAGCACAACAAAAGATTGCGTGATGGGCATGTTTTTTTATTATTATTATTATTTGTAAGAGTTGTCTGCCTTGTGGTGACAGCATCTTCTAATACGTATTAAATTACGGCAGACGTTTGGTGAGCACAGGTTTTCAATCCTGTTCTGAATTTTCCAACCATTCTTGGGAAACTGTTGGAAATACCTCATCGACTCCTCAGTTTATTCCTGTGTGTTACAAGCCATATTTAATATATTCACCCGTATTTTCGTCTTTTGGATTCTGAAAAAGTACAAATCATGGTTATTGTTTTCGAGAGATTTATCAATGTACATGTGCAATATGATAAACCATTGTGCACCTCATGAAAAAAAGAAACGCAGAAACCAAGAAAAAATGGTAATTCAAGACGCAGTACGCTTTTCTTTTCCCCTTACAGGAACCGCGAAGGTTACAAGTTTAGAAAGGTCATGGGAGACACATGCTGACATTACCGGGGTAATAACAGTTGAAGAGAAACTTGTTTTTGAGTTGAGTTTACTTTATTGTTTAATGCTAACATATTCATCATTCTTTTTTGTTGTGGTGCAATGTGGTACTGTTGACTGCAACGAATGTCCAACTGTACAAAATTGTTGTTGTACAAAATGAGAACATATTGTGCATCATATCATTACATCGTGGGTCACTCATAGTTCTTCTTTCTTCCTTCCTTAGATGTTAGGAAGAACGACCACCTCAAGAAACCAAACATCAATTGTCAATATCAGAAAGGAAGCAAAAATTGGAGGTCGATCCACCTTCGTCCACAACTTGTGATCAAAGGCAGATTTTAGTATTTTTAAAGCTGCTTACCTCGTGTCAATAACACCGTGTAATACGCATGTGTGTCAAGACAGACATTTGGTTACATGAAACGCATGCTTAGAAAATAAATGTTCGTACCACAAGGTAGTCAACCTTTTTAAAGATTTAGGAAAATTGTCTGCAAGAGGTGGGTGCGGTGGGGGAGGTCGGATGGTGAAAAACAACTGTCTAAAAGTATTTGTAATATTACTCTATTAAAAGATTGTAAGAAAAAGATTGTATTACCATTGTAATTGTAATATAGATTAAAAGATTGTATTGTAATACTGTACTGTAATAAAATTTTTTTTGTATCAGAGCTAAGAAAACTTTCTAAAAGTGGTTGGTGTGGTTGTAGATAGTGGACAGGAAACCGTGTATGGTTTCCTTCCAAGGTTGATAATTGCTAAGTGCCGTCTTATAGAGGCGGGGGAGGGTGTGGTGGGGGATGGCGGACGGATCGAACCGCAATTTTTCATTTTATTCTATTGGGTGTCCGTCCAATTTTGCTTTCTTTCCAAGATTGATATTTGTCTCTGGTCTTATATTTAAGGTGATCGTGTTCCTTGGTATCCAGCTTTGGGTGGTTGAACAAACCTGCAAAACAGGGAAATGAAATCAAGACCAAGAATTTGGGCCATAAAAACGTTGACCCCCAATTTTCTTGCCTTCCTTTCCATGGTCTTCTTGTATTTAAAGTAAATTGAATAAAATTAATAACGTCGAAGCTATCAGAGTAAAAGTTAAAGTTCTCCAAGAGAGATTGAAAATACTTTTTCCATTTTTTTCTCCTTCTCTGGCGATCTGAAGTAGATTGCAAAACAAATATGTCTAATCACCTGAGGAACACAGGACGCCAGTCTTCAAAATGGCTTCTTCATCGAGCAAACCTTACTCCATTGTGTAGATGAGCTTTTCATCGATGTGATTACTGTGGTAGCTTTTTTCCTCTGAAAAACAGCAAATTTCACCTGCTTTTCCTAATAGATTCTCTCTTAGGCCCAATCTTTATCGTTCGGCAATCTGCAGAAAGTTTAAGATTACAAATGTAAACTACTTTTATATGGACGGACAGAAAATAAACGTAATATGACACAATACGAGACCAGGTTCAGTGTACTGCTTAAGTCTTTGAGTCTGAAAAATCCAAAAGCACAAATGTATCAGAATGAAGAACGCATCTCTTTTATGACATTAACTAAACAGCGATGGAAAGAAAACAGAGAAGAGCGAAACTGTGAGCGAAGAGCTGTAAAATCCTTCGGAAAACGTGAATTTTGCTTTTGGCATGAAATTTGCATATCATAACTTCCGTTTAGCATGTGGCTTTCCGAAATGGCTTCACAATTCTAAATGCTGTAAAGTAAATTTTACAATAATTATTGACAACAAGAAAAACAATTAAGGCGAATTTTAGGCCATGGAGAACCACGTGCGGAGTTGTATGACGTGAATTTGACTGATTTAATTTAATTTTATTCATTTTTTTAACAATAAAATAGACAGTAGCTGACTTTCTAATTGCTTGAATTACATGTTGAAGAAATAAAAACAAAAACAGAAATAAGCGTGTTCTCTTTAACGTGTGCTCTATAAGATGGATTTGACGAAAAAAAAAAAAAGGAAAAGCGAAAAAGCGGGAAGATTTCAAGAAGTTCACAAACGCGAAATCTTGCAGTTATTTTGGACCTTCGTGCAGTTCAATTTTAGTTTGCCCTCAAAGATAGAATCAACTTTTAAAGCTGTTTAAGTCCTAATGTGATTTCTTTATTACAGAGATCTCACCAAAAGACTACTTATCCAAGCAGGTTCAAGAGGTAAGATGATAAACGATCAAAAATAAGTGGACAGCATCTCACTGTCAAACTGAACGTATAACTTGTAAAATGTAACCATGGACTCAATAAGATGAACAGATTTCTAACCTGTAATCAGTATATAAATATATCATCTTGTAACCTTCAATCCTGGTAGAAATCATTGACTACTCTTCAAAGAAACCATTGTTTACCTGAAGAAGACAGTTTGAGCAAAACTTATTGGCAGGTGGAAACGTCTGCCAGCTTGATAAAGTGTGTAAATTATTTAGTCCTCAAATCTAAGGTAAACAGCTTAAACTAGAAAAAAAAAAAAGAAGGCAAAAAAGTGAACTCCATGTCACTGCAGAGTAAAACTCCATATCACTCCCCTGGTCAATTTTCCCACCATCCCTCTAAAGGGGAGAGAATTCGATTCTAACCGAAAATTCTAGCAGAATATTCTGGCCCAAAAAGCGGTAATAATATATCACAAACACTACACAATTATCTCTTAGTAAGCGTTACATCACCAAGATAAAACTTTCAAATAGCAAAGTAGGTAATGGAAAGCCTTAAATATTATTGGTTGCAACACTTCTTTACCACAAAGAGCTAAAGGCCATAACGGCACGTTCTGCTCTAAAGAGCGAATAGGAACATAAAAACTGCTTAACTGTATAGCTAGAATAGCTAGAATAGCTAGAATTCAAGAGTGCAAAATCTATGTGTCAATTTGGCAAAAGATATTGATGTTAATAGACTTAACTTCCCCCAAAGGCAGCTGACCTACCTTCCTTCTGCCCCATCCAGCCATGGGTTAAGGTTTTACATTGCAGTACAATGGGAAATACAGGTCCCTAAAAGAAATAGTACACAATTTTTTTGATGAATACTTGCTGTGAATGATCAGTGGAGTGGACATGTCCCTCCATAACAAGTAGTGCTGTTGACTTAAGAGAAATTAATTATACAAAAGCTCAAATTAATAAACCTTATTTGCTGGTTAAACATATAACAGGCTCTGTTTTTTGAAGCAACAAGCAAAATGTCTGCAGCTTGGAAATATAATTAAGATTAAGTTATCCTACAAGAATCATATTTCCCTACAAACCAGTAAAATTGTAACCTTAATCAAAAGATCACCTAACTCTGAATAAAACACACTCTTCACAATATCTATAGACCCCTTCTAGCACCTTATCTACAGTCACATGGTTTGGCAGTTTAGAAAAAAGTTAGCTAATAATACTTCCACAAGCTTCTTACTCTACAGTGAGTACTTTGCTGATTCATCTACTTTTGCGACTTCCTTAATATGCACACGATCCCCTTGTTTACAACTGCAAAGTTTGCCATTTTACCTTGAAAATTCTCTTGTTATGAATGTTTACCTAATCTGATGCGACATGGCATGATACCTACACTGTTAATGGTATTCAAATATTTTTAACTCGTCTACCACCCTCATTCTATAACAAAATCTCCTCAGCAATACACATCCTCTGCACCCAATTTACCAGGTTGTATTGAATGCAAATCCACTACAGCTAAGACACATCACAAAATGTGTTTTTAAAGGAAAATCAGCCAATCAGAATCATAACAATTTACCATATGATTGTTCAAACATTTAATTTATCACCAATCATATAATCAATCTCATGTACTTGTATCTGTATCCCTTTTAATAAAATAGCTGATAATGTGAAACTTTCTACCCATAGTGCTAGAGATGAGTTTTTACTCTCACACAACACTGTGAAAGTGATTTTAAGACACTGTCTGATGGACTAGTTAAAATATCTAAAGGTAAATTATTTCATAACCTAGTTGCAGAAACTGACAAAGCCCTGTTACCCTAGGTTTTCAAGTTAGTCTTTTGAAATTCTATAAGATACTTCTAGAGTGCATGGGAGAGTAATATATAGATGAGTCATATATGCAAGTACAAGATAATTCAATCCCTTGCATGTAAGCAATGAACTTTGATAACAATTTGCTACTCAACAAGGAGCCAGTGTAAGTGCTTAAAAATCAGAATTGTGTGTAGAGATTGTTTAGTCACAAGGCACACAGCACAGCTTTGTCTAATGCACTGAGTAGCATGTTATAATTGTTTAAATGACAAGTAACTCTTCCCACAATATCAAAGATCAAATACAGTATTGTGCAAGCAAATTTTGACAAAATTCCTGGCTTTTCATGACTTTTCAAGGAAGACACTGATCAGAACAGGCTTATGTCTTGTCTTTTCTGGTATAAAACTAAACTTTACAGGGCGTGAAATTAATTTTTTTTCTGACAGCCACTTGGCTCCTAAATTTTTCAAAGTGGTAGCCAATTCAATAAAAGTTCATTGCCATTTTTAAAGACAAACAAAACCCTTTTTTCATTCTGTCAGCATTCTAGATAGACCCTTTAAAATTAGGTTAGGAAAAAAATCTTTAACATGCCACAAAGTGGACACTAGGATAGATGATATACAATGTTCAAGCTCACCTAAAGCAAAGATTGCATCTAGTTATCGATTGAGATGTGTGTGCTACGTTTTGGACATAAACTTAACGAGGAAGTTTGCCACGGATTTATCTTTGCAAATCTTTTTAATTCACTATATCTTGAGGTAAGGTTATGAAGAAGCATTCTAGTCACCAATTTGGAAACTAATTTTCAGGATTTGGTTTGCCAAAGTGAAAAATTTCGTCACATTGGAGCCTGTATTAGGCGCAATTTTACGCCTTGCTTTAAGTCTTTATTCTTGGTAAGTTTAGTGAGTATTTCTCATTGTTTGTAGTCATGACTTAACTCCAGCAAAGGAGTGTGTTTGGAAACCTGTTGTGTATTTCATGAATGTTATATAAAGGATGGATCATGTAAATCACATGGAAAACTATTGGGTCTATCCAGAGCAAAACTTCGAGCACTAAGCAGTAAACCGACGATTACTAGCCCAAATTTTGAAGTAAAAATTCAATGTAATATTCTCTATTCAATGGAACTTTCCCTCAAAAACCCTTGCATTGTCATTTAAACTTTCACACGAGATTTTGATGAAAATTGGTGAAGACAAAAAACGAAATTTGCACGTTTTGCTTGTGTTACTTTTGCATAATACTGTACAAGTTGAATCAGTAGATATGATGTCCATACTATTACAGCTACAGTTATAGCAAGGGATTCAAAGTATTGTCTGATTTCAATGTTGGTGAGTTTACATGGGTTTGATAAAGTAACCAACATACAGAAACTTTCTCAAGGCTGCTCTTAAGATTTCTTTTGATATCTATTGATTTCTTTCAAAAACTTCATTTCCCAATGTTGGTTGCCCAAACTTAGGGTGCCGCTCATCTTCGATTGCAGCTTCTGGTAAGATTTCCACACAACCCCATACTATTGTAAAACAAATCTGTTTTACCAATGGCAATGTATTGTTTTTGTTATTGTTTTCTCTATCCAAGAACTGAATGCATAATGTAGTACGGGACTGTGCGGAAATTTTACCATTGCGTTAAATCAATTGTGAAGCTACCTCTTTTTCAGTAACTTGAGACATAAATTTGAAGATGAGACTGAACTTAGCACAATGCTTTACTGGTTTGTAAGATGTGTTAATTTGAGGCTGTAGCAAGGTAAAAAAGAGTACAGCCTTTCATTTGGATTATCAGGTGAGGGGACATTGTGTGACGCCAAACCTAAAGGATCCACTGAAGGATCAACCGAGTGAGTTTCTGCCCCATACAAAAAACCTACGCTAAAATTCACGAAGCAAGTAATATTAAATATCACACGGGTGAAATAAATTAAAAAAACTGTAGTTTTTTAAAGTTTTCTTTACCTACCTCTTGCTGACAAGTTAACATCTGGCATGCATTTAGGAAACATGGTCTTCATCTCTCTGTTTTGCGGCCCCTCTTCCTTCCACCCTATATTTAAATATCGCTAAGCCAAGGAAAGTTGCCGAGAAGCTGAGGGGCTTTTTACTTCCGGACCTTGTGCCAAAGCAAGATGTCATTTCCCTGCAGTTCTCACAACCACCTGCCACTATGTTCTGCCATGTTGAAATGAACCAGACTATGTCCCAGCTCTCCTCCATAACGAGGAAACGCGCACGTTTCACGAACAACAATGCGCGAAAACGCGGGAATTGCAGATACTGCGCGGAAACACGTAAGGTTTTTGGACTCGACATGTAGGAAGAATTTTCATCATTTTCCTTACATATTTTTAACATATGGATGCTTACTCAGGACAGGCAAGGAATAAGGTTCAATGCTTACTAAGTTTCCAAGTCAAGAATTTATCTTTCAGACTTCAAAAGTGAAAAAGCATTTATTTTTTTACATCAATTCTGATTTTTTCATATTACATCCATTTTTAAATCATGGTGGTCCTTGTAATCTGATTGGCTCTCATGGGTGCAATCAATTCACAAATAACACTATTTTTTGCTCTAAATGGCACCTTTTCCCAGCCAATAAGGAGACTTTACTAAAGTACAACCAATTGTTTGTTTAAAGAAACCAATCAATTTGCAAGAAAAACAACTTTTGCAACTTTCTACAAATCAGCTCAAAACTAGATCTACAAAACATTTGTACAGACAAAAACTCCTGTATCTGAGTGATTTCAAAATGGTTGTAATAAAGTAGTAATTGAACTCCATGTTGTGCAATTTTGGTCTGAAATCATACTTGATTTCAAATCAATTTCATACTGTGCACTGATTTGATTTTGAAATCAAACATTTGATTTCAGACCAAATTGCGCTCCACCCAGTTCAATTACCATTATACATCTTGATTGTAACAGGATGATCCTAAGCAGACATTCAAAGAAAAATTTCTACATAATTGTGGGTTGATATCACTAACAACTCTTCCAGGAATGTTGTCTCCAAAGAAGCAGTTGTTCATCTTCAAGAAATTGTTAAAGAAAAAATTGATTAAAAAATTGAAGAGATAATTGAACTTGATAATTCATGGCAATGTTTTACTAAATTGTTGTCATTGTCATGGGGCACAGAAATGTGAAGGCAACAACAAATTGTAAAAAGGCTGATGTTTGGAGCGTTAGCCCTTCGCTCTGACGAAGGGCTAATGCTCGAAAACGTCAGCTTTTTCACCCTTTATGGTGGCTAATTTACATTTTCAACTCAGTTGTTAACACTAAATTACCTGCTATACTCTCCGGCCGACACAGCACCACAGTTTCTTTAGAAACTTACTCCTCAGTTTTTACAATTTGTTGTTGCCTTCACATTTCTGTGCCCCATGACAATATTCATTAGTTCAATTATCTCTCTAATTTTTAAATCGATTTTTCTTTAACAATTTCTTTGAAGATGAACAACTGCTTCTTTGGAGACAATATTCCTGGAAGAATTGTTAGTGATATCAACCCATAATCATATAGAAATGTTTCTTTGACTGTCTGCTTAGGATCGTCCTGACTTAAGGTGTGTATAACATCACTACACATGAGTAAGGCAAGAAGTTAAACATGAGCTTTATGCATATGTGAACAAATCAAGCCATTATTCTCTCCTGCTCACTTTAATTAACTTTGATCATGAAGATCCCTTGCTTTTGCCGGGTGTCTGAATGACAAAATGAATAAAAAGATAAACTTTCAGACCTCTACAATTTTACATGAACATGTAACTCTCTGAAATGAGGCGGAGTCAGGAATAAAGCATTAAAATAAGCTCAAACAATTTGAAATTGGCCTGTTTTATCCGCGTTTTTAGATCAACATATACGCGAGCGGTACTGTACTGTACGAATACTTAATTGTGACGCGACGATTGTAGCTATTCATACACATCACTTTATCCTGAGAACGTAGTACTCGAGGTAACAACGCAAATTTTAACGTACTTTTCGGCCAATAGCTGAGCAAGACTCCGGTTGGGATCTTGAAATATTTCAATCCTTCGGGGCAAGTTCACAGTTTTCCTCTAAATAATGTCTCAACTCTCAATCTTCGAATGCAGGGAAACAATTTCCTACCATCTCCTCTTCCAGGCTTGTTGATTTTCTTGTCTCCTTCAGTTTTAGCCATTATAAGCACTTATAAAAAGTAATCATAAAAAAAGCATTCGTAAAGGGAAGTAAGGCAAATTATTTACATGCTGCCCTCTCAAATCGAGCCAAATATACCCAGTTCAATCCACCATCTTGGATATGATATAAACATTAACTCAGCGTACAACCTCAACCCACTTTCCCCTTTATATATGCTCCCTTCTCGTGTCTCTTTCTAAGTCAAGCCGGAAGTTTCTCAAAGTAGTCTAATGTGTCACTAAATGAGGATTCGATTGCAAAAGGTCTGCAAAGCAAACTCGGTTTAAAGTGCTCGGGGTCTGTATAATGACTGACCTCAGTGGAAAATATTGCAAGTTCCCTGATAGTGCGCTATCACGCAACGTAAACGTGAGGGACATCAATGATATGGGAAAGGTAAGAGGCTGCACAATAAACTAACAAAGAGCTGTTATCGAACATCGTAAACGAGTGCAACGGTCTTGAAACTTTACGAAATTTACCACACCGGTGGAGTTAGTTAATTAGTGGGAGAGGGGACGGGCCTCGGATTTTGTAGATCTTTGTAGACTATCATTTATTATCTAAACTGACGTAAAACAGTTCTATCACTTGATCAGGCGGATGAACTAAAACTAGACTGAACTTATGAAATTATGAACACATGTTCAAAGGCACACTGATAAATTATGGCCATTTGTTATTTCTTCAAAAATCTAACTCACATTAAAATAAATTCCAGGCGTCATAAAAGTAGAGAAAATGAAGAAATGAATGGGTTACAAACTCCTCTAGGGGCGCTTTTGTAGCCTAAAAATTACATCAAACATCTCCTGCAATGCTTTTGCATTCACCGGTAAGATGGTTATCATCAAATAACCTTTATGTCCATTCTCTCTGAAAGAATAATCATGAAGCCTTGATAGGATAGTTGTTTCGGCCATCGGTAGAAATTTGCCCATGATGTTCGTGCATGCATACGGTTCATCGCGTCGATTCTTTCGTTTTAGAATTTGGGGAAAGTGTCATTGTTTTTTTTTAATTGTAATTGTCCTTTATGAGCGGCAAAAGTAGTTTAATTTTAAACCTCCGCTTCTGCGCTTCCTCCTTTCCCGGAGGTATTATTCCAAGCGACGCAGCATTAATCTGTGACGGAACAAATTTCGACGCATCTGGCAACAGGATCGACGGCACTAACACCCCCACTACGAAGAACATGAATTATGGGTTAATCTCTTGCAATCGTTTGGATGTCTTAAAGATCATGTCACCATTGTGTACTTTCTATTTTTAGATTTTTCTGTATGACCATACCTTAACCTCGTGAGAAATGACTGTTTCACGCATCATAGCCCTAGAAATTTCCTCATACGGAAGTGAACATCAAAATCAACCGTTGACTTTTGGATGCTGCACTGTTATAGGGATGACGTAATTAAAGGGGAAATCCCATCAAATAGCCTGTATATTGTGAGTGCCACGTAAACCCAAGTGCAGAAGTGACTGGTGGCTGAAAAGGTAAGTCGTTTGTATAGAAAGGGAAACAGGTCACGAAACCAATTTTACAAACATATCCACCATGTCCAAATTTCAGTCAAAAATTTAATAAGAAACTTGTTATTCTCGGTACCAAATGGTTTTGGCTGCCGAATTATTTTAGACAAGGAGTTGGGTTCGCCGATTTTGAATTTCTGTCGTTAATGTCATAGTTAGATTATAGAAGGGTCTGAGCTATCGACGAAAATTTGATTCTCTACCTAGAACTGGACTTTGAAATTTTTCGGTAATCTTCACAGTTTAAGTCTCTGACTCTTTTGGTGAATGTTTTCAAAATGTATTTTGGTGACGAGAGTGTTCTGCTGCAAGATTTGTGGCCATCAGAAAATTCGCTTCGTCATCGATATTTCTAGCAAAGATTTCGCCGATTTCAGTTTTCGATCTAAATCCTTAAACTTCAGCAGTCTCTATTTTCCAGTGGCCTCTTCTTGTCTTTTGATTTCGTTTTCAGGAACCTTAGTGAAGAGCTAACATCAGAAAGTCTCGAAGCTGACGATCAGGGTAACGTCACGCTCTTCAAAGTTTGTATCTGGTAAATTTGTAATAGTTCCACTGATTTCACATTTATTCCATAGAAGCTAGCGTTCTTTAATCTAGAAAACTCTGGGAAAGGTAAGTGCTATGACACCTAAGCCTTTTATTTTTTCTTGCCTTAAAAACTTTTAGTCGTGAACTTAGGCATCGGAACCTTCCCAGACAGAGTGCAATATTTTTTTGTTCTGGAAAAATGTGATTATTAAGCGAATTTTCAAATGGGGGAATCCACCGAGTAAAACAAAGTCAAATTTACTTTCAGTATCGATATGCAAATTTGTCGTTACAAACAAATCCTCGAGTGGCGGAAACAAAAGAAAAAAGAACCCCTTCAAGACAAAACAGAAATACACATCATAAGAAAACTATAGCATGTTGTTCACGAAGAGTTCTGGAATTTTCTCATTAAAAAGAATTCTGATGCGATCCTTGAGAGGCTTTCCGAATAGGACTTCCCATTGGCCACATTGCTTTCAAGGGGGAGGTGGTAGGGAGTTGGAAAAACTTTTGCAATTCAAATCATATCAGAGTGGTATTTATTTTTGGCAGAGTATTTAATAAACTGCAGACAGTAAAGGCTTTCTGAAACCAAAGCTTTTTAAGGGTTGAGTTATTCCCAACGCGATCAGCACTAGTCCACAATTAACTCTTATAGCAATGCAGAGTTTTTGAACGAAATTAGCACAGGATTAGCGCTAATCAGTTAAAAAAAACCGAAAATAGGAATTGATAAGATGATCTTGGGATTTCACCGCCAGTGTTTGTTTTTCATCAGTAATTATTTTTGAGAAAGTGATATTCAAACAATAATTACGCTCCCGCGCCCTCTACATCTCCTGACTTCCTTCTAGATTCTCAATAGAACATTCTTAGATTCCATCGTATCTTTTTTTAATACAATCTCGTTCTTTCCTCACTTTTTTTTTTAGAAAATAATAATGCTGATTGAAGAACTTTCTCACGATACGTTCAAGCAACTGTGTCTCTCCTTAAATGAGGGACTCGGTACTGACTACAAAGCTCTAATGACGAAGTGCTTTCCCGAAGTTTATTCTCTGGTGGAGGCAACCGAGATTAAAAAGAGTAGGAGTCCAGCTGAAAAATTACTCCGCGACCTAATCAATAGACAAATAACGGTGGAAAGGCTCCTAAGAGGCGTGGAAGGAATAGGAAACATAAAGGCCAGAAAAATTATAATGGAGGGTAGAGTATTTTGTTATGCCTCGTTTAAACAGAGTAATGAACGTTTTCTTTCATTTGCATATAATTTAGCCACGTGTGAATTTGAACCCTTTTCTAGAAATAGGAATTTTTTCTAACCTTGGTCCAGCAAATATTGAGTTTGAGAATATTTACACAGATGTCACGAAAAGAGGGAAAACGCTTAACTTTCCGGGGGATTATCAATTTTCTCCACGCCACTCCACTGGACAGCCACAGGAGGTATGCATATTGTCTAAATGTGTTTTATCTACACAATAACCGCTATAACGTTCTCAACACTTGTGTCGTAACAAAGCTGGAAAAGTTAAGTTTTGTCCTAGCTATCTTGGCTGGCAAATAACGAAGGATTTGGTAAATGATGAAACGGAAAAACAAGGCTCTACACTTTTAACATAACATAGCCATTTTAAAAGAGTATTTGCATTTAAGCTTAATGTTAGTGATAAATTCATACAACAACGACCACATACAAGAATATATTAGCAAAGTGTAATAAAACGTCTAAAGTGGATGCCACCATGTGATCACCTGTGTTTATGTTTTGGCTTGTTCCCAATTTTTTGAGAGTAAGCCAATTCATAAACATCGGCCGGTCAATGCTCATATAGATCCGGCAGTATCTTTAATATTTCTTTGAAAATTCAAAATTACATAAGATTCAAGCAATAGAACTCTTTTTCCCTGTTTACATAGCTCCATCTAAACACGAGAAAGGTTTACATACTCTCATTTTAACACACCTATCGATCAGTAAGGATATGGATAATATCTCGGTTATATAAAGACGTGTCTATTAATCAGAAAGGTTACAAGCCCTTCACATAAGCAGTATAACGTTATCAAGTGTAAATCCAGTGGTAGTCTCGGCATTTTGTCATAAAAGTAAATTTAGATAATCGATAACAACAAATTGTGAAACTTGAAATTTTTTCAGACTACAAATTGCATTCGCCCTAAGGATTCGTGCAATTTTGTTATCTTTGAAAAATTTACTCGTGCTTATATACACCAAATTGCACTCGAGATTATGCCATTACCTAAACAATTCTTTGTTGTAACGAAGTAATATTAACTCTAATGGTACTGATTAGTTACCTCCTTTCGTAAACTGATTCAATAGCAATAATTTATCAAATTAGTTTAAAACAGAATATTTTTACCTCACTCGCTAAATCAAATATTTAGTTGAGTTCTTTAACTCTTTAACTCCCGTGAATGACCAAGACAGAATTTCTCCTTGTGATGAGAATAAAGAAAAATATCAACTATCGGATTACTAACTGATCTGATACCAAATTCTCCAAACTAACATAATGAGAATCGTTTGGCAGACAGTAAGGAGAATTACTAACGAGATCTTGGGAGTTAAGGGTTAAACATTTTGTTTTCTCCTCATTTCATTCTATAGTATTATATGGTACATGGTTACGGTTGTAGCTGTTAATCAGAATTGAATCAATTTGTGATCTTTGCATTGAATTGATCTTCCCAGCACAGAGATGATGCAGTATTCGAAGAAGTCTGCAGTATTTCTCACCAACTGTACCCTAACGGGGAACAAGCTAAAACATGCAGAGCTCCTATTCAGGAAACAGTGTTTAATCCTTTGCATTAAAGAAATGGAGACTCCGTCATTCACGAAAGGATAATTCATTCTCATAGAGGAACATGTCTGTGTAGTGTAAAACATATCAAAATGATACAACTTAAGTGCTGGTAGTAAAATTTGTTAGAGGCAAAGGTGTAGGATAGTCTTAATAGAGTAGGCGATCGGCTTTTGAAAAGTCTTTTCAGGTTAAAGGGTCTTTTTAACAAGTGTAATGACTGTAATCGCTTTATTTATTTTCCCAATTGTTTTTGTCTGAATTTCAGGTGTCTTAAAAGGCTGTGTTCCATACCCCAGCGTATAGGGTCGGCTTGAAGATTTAACCAGTTTTCATAACAGCCATTAGGTTAAGCTTTATTAGGTTTATTCACAAACCAACTCTCTTTTGAACATTTTCATTTCTGAACATAGACACCTGGAAAAGTGTCCATTTAAGCTTTTGATTTAAATTCAGTCTACGACTTTAAAAAGGGCTCTTAAACCAGTGATACATTTTGATTAAGATTAAATACATTATTATGCTTTAATTACCTAATTATAAAAAAATTTTACATCACTGAATATGTTATTGTAGTAAGATTCAATTTCATCGATTATGCTATTTCGGAAATATAATATGGAGATTTTAATTAGTTCGTCTTTGCCAGAACTTGTTTTAAGTTTTCTTTCAAGATGAAGTTAGGAAACGGAGGCTAAGTATTTCATTATGAATAAAACGCGAAGCATTGGAGGTAGTTTACGCTGTCGGTGGGTTCGTGTACTAAAACCAGCTGCAAGTGGAGAAAAAAGATCGCTTCAGATTGTGAATTTGTCGATTGAATTGAGTAACTTCGCTGCATTGTCGATAGTACTCCAGGGTTTTTGCTCTGGAGTTAAAAGTAGCATACAGAGCTAACAGAGAGATCTTTCTAAAAAATAACTCAATTCTGCCGATGAAACCCGTACACCTAACTTTGTGAGAATCTATGTGGAGACAAATTTTGTCGGTGACAGTAATTCTCCACAAGAAAGTGAGTATTCTTAACAATAAATAACTAGAGAACACGAGAAAAGCTTGAACAATAAAGTACTTAAGTATGTCTTATGGGGTAGTCACCTGTTTTAATACATCGTGATGCTTTTACTGTACATTGCTTAACCTTTATTTGGCGATAAGTTTCGACAGGTCACGTGTCACTCACTAAACGCGATATTCTGCTGTGGTTGGTTTAAAATGGATGAAGACAGAAAATGTTATTGAGACAGTATTTAAATGTTAATTTTCCACAACTTTTTCTCAAAATCCGACCTCGCTGACTTGAATGAAATAGATTCCTGGTTATTTCCCGACCTGCGCCGATGATTTAAATGAAAATTAAGTCCTGACAACTATCGATGCTACCTGTCAGCGTTTAGCTTTGGTAAAGAGAATTTTAATCCACAACCAGCTTCCGTAAAATCCAGCGCTTCTTTAATTGCTGATACCAAATCGTAGTTTTTAAATTCCTAATTTTCCATGTGTTTTATTCTTTTTAAGTTGATTCCTTTCTTGTTCAGTGATTAGTAGCTGATTAGTTCATTAAGTATAATGCTCAAGTATGATGTACCGGCCTTTCGTAAAGCTGTTGCTTTTCAGGGCTATATGCTTTTTCCAGCAATCGAGCACGTTATGACGGCAATGCAGTATGTATGACAAAATGAAAGTGTACTTTTTTTGCTACAGGTACAACTGGACTATGGTTTCCTTCGCGAATGAAAGCGAACTTTGAACGGTAAGTAGATGGCTAATAAGAAATACCACTTATAGTAACATTCAGGGCTACTGTCAAAGCAACAGCTACTATAACAGTCGCTCACTCATCAGTAAAAAATGTTCAGTTTGCACGAGGCCATCTCTTGCGGAATATTTAACTTAACTTTCCTAAAAGAATTAAAAGACACGTAAACATATACTACTCACATCCTCGTCACAGAAGAGCCGGAGACTTTACTTGGCGCTCCTTCTGCAGCATGATGGGCCACCGAGCGAACAGCTGAATGGAAGTGCTCAGTTCCCAACAAAGCCAATTCTCAAACGGTCGAGGTGTCTGCATTGCTTAGCTCTGGGTCATTTACGTCAGGTCTAAACACACCAGTGCCCATGCTTTCACTGTCAAGTAGGGCTTGCGCTTTTGTGTGAGACTGGAAAC